CAACAAACAAAACAGCGGCTTATGCTCCTGAACTCCAGAAGCATTCTCCATATCAACACATACGTAAGCCTTAATATCCTTTTCAACTGCTGCCTCACCACGCTGCGGAGAAGAGAGTCTGGGGAAGAAGGGAAAGATTTCACAGCACAAAGGGTTGGGTCCTCCTTAAGGAGGCTGTTTGCAATTTCCCTCAGCCACTGAGACAAAAAAGGCTGTTTAACAAGTCTCTTGGCTTCTCTGGATCCGCACCCCAACCAAGCCAAGCCAGAAAGATCCTTTTTGCACATTTTACGTAGCAATTGAGCCCTGCTGCAGCTGAAGCGTTGTTTCCTGCAGTAAATGCATAAAGCGTGAAGGGTAGACTTGTGCCTGAACACTTGGGGAGGGGGGGAGAGAGATGCGCTGCAGAGCCCCAATTGGCCATGGCTCTTCGGCGCGTGTCCACTATGTGTTTAGCAACGCATGCCTGCCCTTCACGCACAAGTTGCACAAGTTTCCCTTGCAGATTTTTCTCTCAATCTGTTTCTTGTCTGTCAGGGCCATGTGTGTTCTCTGAGATTAAAAAGGAACACCTTCAAAGACCAAAATCCCGCACCAAATATGTTGGATTTTGCCAGCCTGCACTTAGTATGCAAATCAGGTACATTGGCATATTTTTCTTTCTTGGTTTGAAAACATGATTCTACGGTCCTTCACCGTAAACATAATTTATTCTGCTTCACCTAGTGACTAGGTGGGACTGTTAGGATTCTTACTCTGTGCTTGCAGTCATGGGATTGTTGTCTATCACATGACAGTGTATGTTTTCATTCCAAATAGTGGGAAGTGACAGAGACAGGGTGTTTGGCATTACTGTGTTTCCGTGATGTAGGACTATTGTCCTTTGTTCTTTCTCTTTGCTGTCTGATGAGAAAGAGGAAGGAGCTAAGTCAGAATGCTCCGAGTGTATTATATGTAAATAAACATAGTTTAGCCAAAATGCTGTGCTACTGTGTTCTGTTACACAAACTGCTAACACTCCGCAGGATCCTAAGTGTGCTAATGCCACTTGGTATCAGTCGCTGGGATGCTTTGGCTGGAGAAAGCTTTAGAAGCTCCCGACAGACCAGGAGGGAGAGAACATGCCAGTCAGGCATGTATCTCTACCAGGGTCCTACACTTGAGTAGGACGAGCCTAACATGGACAAGGAGTTGTGGGGGGTAGGCACTGAAACTTTATCCCTTGGCCACTGAAATCTTGTTCAGCTTTAATGAGAGTATGGGTTTGGAATTGCACACATACCTTCAAGCACACACACGCACATATGTGCTTGAAAGCTGCTTAAATAAATAATGGCAGACAGAGAAAAGCTGAGATTCTCAAGAAGTCATATTTTATGGTTCCCTGCCTCTCATCCAAAAAGCTGCTGCTTAGCAAAAAAATACGTAACATTATATTCTGATGTATGCTTGATCCAGGAAACCCCATAGATTCCTAGAGAACCCTTTCCAACTTGACTTATCCTACAGCTCTTATAAATCAGTCACAATGTTTTTCTATATATTGCAGAAGATTCTGAGGTCACATACTGGGTTTTAGTCTCTGTTGGGTCCCTGCTGGTCAGGCCTGTTGAACCTAAATGCTGCATTCCACAAACGGACAACAAGCCAGAACATACCCAACACCCCTGTCCCTCCCACCCCGTGGATGGACAAATGTGGAATTTGTCCCCCTATGAGGGGAATTAGGGGTCTTTAAACAACTCTCAGCACCCTTAACAAATGATATTTCCCAGGATTCTTTGAGGGGAAGCCATTACTGTTTAAAGTGGTATCATAGCACTTTACAAGTTTGGTGGAGGTGGAGCCTGTTTTTGTATTATGAGACCACTTGTCGACATTTGCCCAATCCACATTTGTCTCCTATTCCCCTCATAGAGCTACAGTTACTTGAGTGGCTTAATTATCCATCCCTCTTCCCAGGGAACTCTGAGAAGTGAAGCTCTGTGAGGGGGATATGGGCTTAAGGACATATTTTGTCACGGTCTTTGCTCAAAGACAATAAGGGGATTGAAGATGGCAATTACGAGCATCAGCACTGGATGCTGTGGTGGCACTGAGGATGCTTCCCTCTCTGAAGCGAAAGTGTTACCACAACTCCAGGCTGAGATCTTGAGAAAAAAGCCCACCCCTGGTTTTCCTAACATAGGTTTAGTCTTCATTCTAGGCAATTAGCACTTTGGGGAAACATCCACAACTACAGCGATTTGTTTAATTTACAACCCCATGCATGTCTTAGCTGTTCAGAGCCTGACCGCTAAAATTTCTTCAACTGCTGCCTGAATATTAGCTCCGTATTTCTTTTTAAATACCCACTCAAGCAATGCTAAATTGTGCTGATGGTAGGAGAGGTGATTTAGCACACCTCTAAAGGGCCCTCTATAGCAATCAGCAGTCAAACAAAGCCTTCTGCTGATTTGCTGTTGTGGAAAGCGGCCCCTTGTTTTCCCAGACATCCCAAGTAGGTGAATGCAAGGCTCCTTGCTTTCCAGACATCCCTACAGACTGGATGGGGTGGAGGATGGAGGCTCAACCACTTCTGTTCAGGAACAACCTCACTCATTCTTTCTTTTCTATTCCCTCTCCATTCAGGGAAGAGGAAGTGCAAACATGCCCTGAAAGCACACATCCAGACCAAAAACTCCCTCTGAAGAAGTGGGTATGTAATTTGAAGGCACTTCTGGATTCTTTGCTGTCACTTGAGGCTCTGGTGGCCTCGGTGGCACAGAGTGCCTTCCATCAGCTTTGGCTGGTGTCTCAGCTGTGCCCCTATCTGGACAGGGATAGCCTAACGTCTGTCATCTGTGCTCTGGTAACATCTAGGTTAGATTACTGTAATGTGTTATATGTAGGGCTGTCTCTGAAGACGGTTCAGAAACTGCAGCTGGTGCAGAATTTGGTGACCAGGTTGCTCACCAGGGCACGATGGTTTGAGCATGTTACACGAATCCTGGCTTGACTGCACTGGCTGCTGATTAGTTTCCAGGCCTATTTCAAAGCATTGGTTTTGACTTATAAAGCCTTACATGGCTCGGGACTACAGTACCTCAAGAACCACCTCTCCCCATATGAACCAACTCAGATCCTGCAATTATCATCTGAGGCCTTTCTTTGTGTGCCTCTTCCACAAGATGTCCAGAGGATGGCAATACAAGAACGGGCCTTTTCTGTGGTGGCTTCCTGTTTAGTGAATGCTCTCCCCAAGGAGGCTCACCTGGCTCCTTTATTATATATCTTTAGGTACCAGGCTTTGGCTGATTAAACATTGTATGTTTACATTGTATGTTAGGTAACCAGAGCTTTGGCTGATTAAACATTGTATGACATTTTAACTGTATTTGTGGGAGGCAGGTGATTGGTTTGTTCTTGTTCTTGTTTGTCTATGTATTTTGTGTTTTCTCGTTTTGTACTGCCCTGTGATCTTCAAATGAAGGCCAGCATACTTACTTACTTACTAGATAAGATAAAATAAGATAAGACGTCCCCCCCTTTCAAATCCAGATGTTTGGCCGGTGATTATGATTACTCAGAGAGGAAGAAAATGCACTCTGAATTATTTTTTATTTATTAAAATTTATATGACTCTTGTCTTTTGGGTAAAAAAGCCCCCTTTCTCTCTTCGCCACAAATGGCTAGGCAGAAGGTGGAACATGGCAACAGACTGGTGGCCCCAGCTATTCAAGAAGCAGTCGGGGGGACTGTTTCCTTCTGCTCCAGAAAACCACTGGAGAGCTGGCAGAAAATGGCCCTTCTGGCAGTGGAACAGGCTCTGTTATCCCTCATGAAAGAGTCTGTATTTTACAGCCACTTGTCTGGAGTGCTGGACTAGGTTTCAGGCAAAACAATCTTAATGGCAGCCCACGCCTCTCTTTGCCTCAGGCACTGTCTGAGGCCTTGATGAGCTCTTACTTAAACAAAGCTCGCTTCGTAGGCAACAACATCCTTTCCAACAAAACCCAAAAAGGATCTATAATTGATTCAGACGCAACATCCCATAGTTCCTTGACAAGTCCCCCCCAAGGGACGGTTCAGTCACACACACACACACACACCCTGTAAACACACCCCCTTCCACAACTTTATGGGCTCTGCTGCTCTCCACATCTCTGACCTCATCATGTCTGTCATGTTCTGGAGATTAAACCTGCCATTTTGAATCCTTGATAATATTGGGCTTGGCAGACATCCCACCCAGCTAGGTCAAAGATAAATACAAACCCAAGCACCGCACTGTGGGGAAATTGACAACTGCGCTTCCTAGAAAAGTCCATTTTGTGGGGTGGGGGAAAAGACTTTATTACTCCACATCAGCACTTTCTAGCTTTTATGACTGTCAAAGCCAGCCAGCGTACAAGGGCACTGAACAAGGAATAGGGCTGCATAAAACCCCTAAACAACTCTCTTCTAGGAAATTAAACTGGATATATTGAACTGTGGCAAAACAGGCCGGTCACACGTCCTAAACCACTTGTACCCAGAATACCATGTTAGCTTTGTTCTCATAAAAGTTCTCTTTCACAAGCCCAGTGCTAGTACAGTGCATTGGCCACTATTCAAGGTGCTACTTTTAATTCGCAAAGCCATAACTTTTATGACACAAAGTAAGAGCTAAAACACATTGGGGACACAAAGATTACCCTAACTGAGGTTTGCTGGAAGAAACCTGAACACTATACTGCAGCTAGAATGCTACTGCATGATGCTGTCGAGCGAAGTGATAACCGTTTGCAGGTTTATGCAGAACTAAGAGCCAGAGGTGTTTCTTCAATGACTTCTGGTGGCTGGTGACTACTGGCTACTATATTTATTCCACCTAAGAATGTAAGAACAGTTCTGCCTATGGAAAGCCCACAAGTAAGACTTATCCCCCCTCCTGTGGTTTCCAGCAGCTGTTATTCAGAAGCATACTGCCTCCAACTGTGGAGGCAGAGTATAGCATTCATTGCTAGTATCTCAGGAGTCTCCTCCAGCACCATAATTCAAAAGCATCAATTCTTCGGCGATCAGACCATAAAGAAGGCTGATCACCGAAGAATTTATGCTTTTGAATTATGGTGCTAGAGGAGACTCTTGAGAGTCCCATGGACTGCAAGAAGATCAAACCTCTCCATTCTGAAGGAAATCAGCCCTGAGTGCTCACTGGAAGGACAGATCCTGAAGCTGAGGTTCCAATACTTTGGCCACCTCATGAGAAGAGAAGACTCTCTGGAAAAGACCCTGATGTTGGGAAAGATGGAGGGCACAAGAAGGGGACGGCAGAGGACGAGTTGGTTGGATAGTGTTCTCGAAGCTACCAGCATGAGTTTGACCAAACTGTGGGAGGCAGTGGAAGACAGGAGTGCCTGGCGTGCTCTGGTCCATGGGGTTACGAAGAGTCGGACACAACTAAACGATTAAACAACAACAAATTTATAGCCTTATCCTCCATTAAGTTTGTCTAATCCTCTTTTAAAGCTATCAAAGGTGGTGACCATCACTGCCAATTCCACAGTTTAACCAAGTACTATGTAAAGAAGTACTTTCTTCTGTCTGTCCTCAATCTTCCACCACCCAACCTCATTGAATGCCCACAAGTTCCAGTGTTATGAGTAAAGGAAAACAACTTATTCTCTAGCCACTTTCTCCATGCCACGGACAGTTTCAAAACACTTCTATCATGTCGCCTCTCACTCACCTTTTCTCTAAATTAAAAAGCCCCAAATATTGCAACATTTCTTCACAGGGGAATTCATTCACTCCCTTCATCATTTTGGTTGCCACTTTTTGAAACTTTCCCCAACTCTACAATATCCTTTCTGAGGTGAGGCAACCAGAATGGTACACAGTATTCAGGGGCGCCATCTGCTAGGGGCTGAGCCTTTTGCCCCCCGCCCCATACTTTCGAGGAGGGTGCCACTCCTCCCCCCAAAAAGTCCAAAGCCTTCCTGAGGAGGCCAAGCATGGAGCCAAGTGTGGCACGGCTTCAATATCCTCCTCCTGCCATGGAGGAGGCTGGAAGCAGCAGGAGAAGGTGCAACCATTGAAGCTGTGCTGCTGCTGCACTTCCGCTAAGCTCAACTCTGCCTCTGACATCCTGATGTCTCATGTACCATGTTGTGACATCACACATGCAATATCATGTGCCACCAGCCCCCCTTCTTATTTGGAAGCTGGCATGTGTGACTGTTTTCCAAATGCAGTTGCACAATAGATTTGTATAATGGCGTTATGGTATTGGCAGAAAACGCAAGGTGAACTGACAGCACCACCATCTCCATCTTCTGCTGCTAATGCTGATTTGCACAGTGTCCCTCCTTCTCACATCAGAAGGATTTAAGGACAGACTATACAGTATACAAAGTGGGAGCTTTCTATATATGCCCATTCTGGAGCAGAACTGGGGCAGAATAATAAAACTTAAAAGTACCGTATTTTTCGCTCTATAGGACGCTCTTTTTCCCCTTCAAAAATGAAGGGGAAATGTGTGTGCGTCCTATGGGGCGAAGATGCCATAGCCCCGCGACCCTCTCCCGGCTGCAGAGGTGACGCGCGGCTATGGCAGGAGCCTCTATAGCCGCGCGTCACCTCTCCAGCCGGGAGAGTGCGCACGGGGCTAAAGCAGCCCTCGTGACCCTCTCCCGGCTGGAGAGGTGACACGCGGCTTTAGAGGCTCCTGCCATAGCCGCGCTCACCCTCTCCAGCCGGGAGAGCGCGCGCGGGCTAAAGAAGCACCCCGCGACCCTCTCCCGGCTGGAGAGGTGACGCGCGGCTATGGCAGGAGCCTCTACAGCCCCGCGTCACCTCTGCAGCCGGGAGAGCGGCGCGGGCTAGGGCAAGCCATAGCCCCGTGACACTCTCCCGGCTGGAGAGGTGACGCGCGGCTATGGCAGGAGCCTCTATAGCTGCGTGTCACCTCTGCAGCCGGGAGAGCGCGCGCGGGGCTAAAGAAGCCATAGCCCTGCGACCCTCTCCCGGCTGGAGAGGTGACGCGCGGCTATGGCTCTCCACTGCGCCTTTCCGCTGCTCCCTGACCTGCTCTTTGGGGCTGGTGGTGGGCTTCCCCCCGCCAGCCCCAAAGAGCAGGTCGAAAGGAACCTGAAGCCTGGAGAGCGAGAGGGGTTAGTGCACACCGACCCCTCTCGCTCTCCAGGCTTCCAAGGTAGCCGCCTGAACGCACCTTAAACGGCACCTTGTTTTAGAGCGGGAAAACAAGAGGGGGAAAGTTCTCCCCCTCTCTGTGCAGCGCCTCCTGCTGCTTCACTGAAGGGGCGCTGGGCAGAGAGGGGGAAAATTTTTTTTCTTGTTCTCCCCCCTCTAAAACAAAGTGCGTCCTATTGTCCGGTGCGTCCGATGGTGCGAAAAATACGGCATATTGGGAACATAGGTGCACTTTGGAAGAAGAGGCATGAGAGGCATGTTTAATTAAGTGGTTTTGTTTTGTTGCTTGCTTGCATGCCCTCCTTTGTTTCCTAAAAGGATTTATGATCTTTGGGAAATTAGATTATGAGTCCTTTGGGGATAGTAAGGACAAGTCCTTGATGACATTATAGCATCCTGTCCTGAACTAGAGAAGAAGGTAGGCTGCAAGTATAATAAATATACAAGGAGATGTTTAATAGCTGCTCAGAACTTTAGACAGAGACCTGGACTACCTCACATCTGAGGAATAGGAGGATGCTCAGAAGTCAATGCCACCAATCTATTATTTCCAGGCATGAGTGATGCTGAGTTAGGTCTCTGGCTTGACATTTTTGCAGGCTCTTCCTCACAGCAGAGAAGGGAATTGGATCCCTCCTGAGAGAAGACCTGAGCAGGAGGCAGTGCCTGTAACCTATTTGCTAATTGGGGAACCCAGGCCTGGGTCATGGTGCCATTCTGAGCAAGCTACACTTAATCTAACAAGGCGACCTTCTATGGGACTATCGTTTTCTGCCTTCAAAAAATGTCAGAGGTCAGAGTGACGGACATTTGCTTAAGGGTTTCTTACAGCAGCCTTTGCTGATCCTCTGCTTTGAGGCTCTTCGCAAACCTGATTGATGTCAAAGACCTTCAAGGGAAAGAGGTTTAACATTTTAAAGAGCAGTTTTATAAACGGATTCAATTATACATGGCCCAGCGTGTGGATGAAAGCAAAGCATGCCCACCACGCAGGTCACAGTTTTAATCCAGAAATGTGAGATGGGGAGGGTTCACCCTGCTTTTCATAAGTTCAAAGATGTCTTGGTTTTGATGAAAACATGGAAGCTATCCAAGAACCAGAGATGGGCTATTGAGAGATCATCCAACCCACGGCCACCACTGACGGTCAGCAAAGATTCTGAAGACTTAAAATCAAGTGGATTTTTAAGGGCTGGCTCATACACAACACAACACACACACACACGTATATACATCAAATGAGTACTGTTCATATGATGACTGGCAGCTGAATGGGTGAAATGATCCCATTTGAAAAACCACTGTGTGTTGAAGTGATGTGAAAAGTTATCATTATTCCTGCAATACTGTATTTACACATACATAAAAGTTAGCCGGTTATATCGTTTCCATCTAGTTGATATATGTTCATGTGTGAAACAGCCCCAAGACAGGACTTTGTAAGCCTGTTTCTTCTACTCTCTGTTCGGCACAGTTGCTTTGCTAGGCTCTTCCAACACTTGTGTTAGGACCACGGCTACATACCGTGCACTACAAAGTAAAAGAATCAAGGTTCAACATTAAGGCATTTCAAGCTTGCCCCAAGAAATGCTGAATTTCCTATAGCCTGCCAGAAAATGTAGTTATCAGCACCAATAACTGGGAAGATTTGAGATATTATAGTCAAATGAGGACAAATGTGCATTTTGCAAGGAAATGTGAAAGTAGGATTTTTTTCTTTCTTTCTGAGAAAGTACCGTAATTTCAGTTCTAAAGATAACCGAAGGGGGGTGGGTTACGGATTGTCAGGAACAACACAATCTTGCTTTTAAGGAGCTTTAGCCAATAACAGAAGCAACTGGGAAGTCACAGAGAAAACACCTAGTGAGGTACGTAGGGTAAAAATTCAACTCTGCCATGATGCTTGTTGTTGTTGTTTAGTCGTTTAGTCGTGTCCGACTCTTCGTGACCCCATGGACCAGAGCACGCCAGGCACTTCTGTCTTCCACTGCCTCCCGCAGTTTGGTCAGACTCATGTTTGTAGCTTCGAGAACACTGTCCAACCACCTTGTCCTCTGTCGTCCCCTTCTCCTTGTGCCCTCCATCTTTCCCGACATCAGGGTCTTTTCCAGGGAGTCTTCTCTTCTCATGAGGTGGCCAAAGTATTGGAGCCTCAGCTTCAGGATCTGTCCTTCCAGTGAGCACTCAGGACTGATTTCCTTCAGAATGGAGAGGTTTGATCTTCTTGCAGTCCATGGGACTCTCAAGAGTCTCCTCCAGCACCATAACTCAAAAGCATCAATTCTTCGGCAATCAGCCTTCTTTATGGTCCAGTTCTCACTTCCATACATCACTACTGGGAAAACCATGGTTTTAACTATATGGACCTTTGTTGGCAAGGTGATGTCTCTGCTTTTTAAGATGCTGTCTAGGTTTGCCATCGCCTTTCTCCCATGATGCTTAGAGAATCTAATTGGGAAGCCATTTTCTTACCTAGCTATCTATAGAATTCTAGCAGCCACCTTGATGAGATTCAAACCAAAGTTTGGGACATCAATAGGTATCAGCAACTCTCCCAATTTTGGTTTCTCAATTTTCCATGCTTTCCAATTCTCCACATTTCCACGTCAGTTTGTGAATTATTTTTAAAAGCAAGTCCTCTTGAAGATTCAACAGCATTTCAGTGTTAATTTCTACACACATGCATGTATTTCTGCAAAATATACACATTTTTGCATAGCAATTTCCCTGTTTTTAATGCATTTTTGTATGCTATTTTCAGTAATATATCCATTTTTTATCCACACTTTACCCAAGTATATGCACTTTTGTACAAGTTCCTTGACAGGAGAACTGAATTGCATATTTTTTATCGAAAGTGCAAATTAGGTAGGGTCGCCTATAAATGTGAACTGAATGAATTCCTCCCCCATCCCAAGATATAACCAAT